ATTTTACTTCATTTCTCTGGTGAAAAGTCTGTTTCCTTAATTTACCTCTTAGTTATAATATTGGACTTTATTATCAATGCATTTAAACTATCATTGGGGTAAAGTCTAGCTTAGTCCGGGCCTCTGTACTATAAAGTCTGGAGCCAAATTACGAATCTCAATAACCTTATTGCTTTGGGCCACTATCCGGAACGTTCTTTAAAATAATATATCGTAAAAAGTGGATGAGGTCTCTTAATGTATCGTAACCATGTTTAACTTATCCGTATGTTTATGAAGCAAACTTATACTTGCTATGGTAATCGACGACATTACTGGTAGTCTCGAAAACCTACTCAAAAAACGAAATATCTGATATCTTGGCTTAGCCATGTGTTCGGCCAGCCTAATGAAGATTAACGAAGACCAACGTTTGCAGTAATCTCCTTTTAAATAAAATCTTTTTACCACGGCTGGTGATTTCTTTACTTATTAAACTACTTCTGGTGATGACTTCTTTCCACTTACTATTATGCCGGCCAGGGATCAAGTGCTCTACTCCTTTTCAACCACTAATCCTGATATCTTGGCAACCTATGGTTTCATTTTTTCGATTAAACTCTAATATCGGCTCTGTATAAGCTCAAAGTCACCCTAGGCCGTACCATGCCTTTAGTCTGACTTTGCATTTTCCAGAATTCATCACGCAGAAATGTAGTCTCAGCAACAATCAGCTCGAATCAGGCGTAAAATATAAGATATACATATAAAACTTTTACCACTTCAGTGTTGCACTAACATTTCGCTAACTTACGCTAATCCTTTTCAAGAGGCAGCATACCTAACAAATTTATCCAATGTAATCGTTTCTTAGTTCCGTTGAATTAATTATGGCGAGAAAAGCATTTAAGTTTTCACTGCTTCACTATCAAACCTTTTAGTTTCACATATAATCTCATCCATTGGATGTTCCCAAATTTATGCTTTGTCTTGACGCAAGCTTAGCGGGCTTTTTTTCCTTCTAAAAAACGTTTAACTTGATACAAAGGCATCCCCTCGTGCATAGATGATCTTGCGATGCTCTTACATTATTCGAAAAGGCAATCATATAAAGTATGGAAAAATTTCGTTTCACACCCTCACTTTGTGGGAAACCACGATTAATAAGATCCAGACTGCCGAGATGTCTGACGTAAAGTTAGAAAGCGTCACTCATGAGAACTCAATGCCATTAGGATATTCATGGTCTCTTCATTTTGGCATCTTTATCATTGACCTTCTACAGACAGATGCTGTCCCATACAACTAGCTTAGTTTGTCTATACGATAATCCAGATAATGTAGACACAATTTGGTTGCTTGTCACTTTTTTAACTTTCTATAATCCATATAAGAGTTTTTTTCATTGATTTATTTGCCCTTCCTTTTTTTTAGTACTACCTATATGCTTACTCCTTCGACATGCCAATGGGAATAAGAGAGCTGATTGACCAACTTATGAATTGTGAGGATATTGCTATGAATTTTTTGGTATCCCATTTGTCTGGAAAATCACCCCTCAAGGTAAGCAAAAAATATGAAATGATATTTAATTATCAATAATAGGATGGTATTGAAAATAATGTCTGTCGATTTACGCTATCTGAACGGTTAGTCTTATAAACTTCAGATTACGGTTTGATTCGTTTTTGGCCGTTTAATCGGCTAGACAATTAAAATATAAACAGAGTATCGAAGTGGGTTGACCTCGTTGTCTGCCATAGTAGTTGTCATGATTCCCAGCATCGGGCAATGGATTTGATACATTCTTAAACGTTTCACTGGCATCATAGTCGGCATCTTCAGTGAGCTTTGCCATTCTCCGCACCAAGCTACGGTATTAATACGATATTCAGGTTGATGCAGTTCACAAAATATACTCCAATGTTTCGGGCGAAAAGGGGCTGAGCTTACGTTCTTCATGAGACGAATATCCTCAGAACTAAGACCCATTTTTATAAAAGCCTCAAGTTAAGTCAAGAAGAATTACCAGCTTTTTTCTATATGCTACGAATTACTTGTGTTTAATCGAAAAATTGAAAGAGACGGGGTGTTGAGCCGCCGTCTCAAACAAGACGACTTAACTTGTCAATTGAGTGATGGCTCTAACTAAATTAAAGCTCGCGCAACAGGCATGTCAAACTCATCAGCCAAAACAGACGTGCGGGGCCACGCAATTCCGGCCAAGCTTCTTGGTTCATTAAACCTTAATAATCCAGACTAACGGGTTCGGACTAGTGGTTTCCTGGTCTGACTTTCATGAGTACAGACTTATATCTCCTGAATTCGACCAACTAACACAATCTCAGTCATCCTTTTTTCTTTGGGTCATTGAGTCTTGATGATCAGGCGTTAATGTTAAGCTATTTTCTATTTGCTCTGAATTATGACCGGTTTTGCGTACAGACGCTAACATGCATGCACACGCAGATTCGAATATGCGTGAATTAACCAAACCTTTCTATACCTTACATTTTGCTCGAAATGAGTATATATATCATATAGAAAAAGCCGGTTAGTCCTCTTGATTTAGTGTTAACTTAAAGCTTTTCTAAGTGAGTCCCAGTTCTGACTATTTTCGTCACACGACGAACTAAAGCTCAGCCTTTTTTCGCCCGAAGTGTTGGATGTATCGTGGACTGCAACAACCTCAACATCATATTAAGGCCAAACGACTGCAGTACAACGCTAAGCAACCGACGCCTTCCGGTGAGATTGACCTACGAATCTCTACGTCATGTACTTCCATACGAAATGAAAGTCTTTACACCTGTATTTCGCTTTTCCTAGGCTCATACTTAGTCCCTTTAAATTCATAAAAGTATACCGATATGTACACCACTTACAATGGTTTGAAATGCAAATCCTTGAGATGCCTAGATTTTTGTGGTTTATATGCCAGAGCGAATACACTGTCGATTTTCACAAAATAATAGCCCACATTTAAGCAGCATTTGATACCTTTTAGTCTGATTACTAGCAGCTTTCGAAAGTGATGGTCTTTCCTTCGCGGATAAAATTGAGTACTGATAAACGCCTTCCCTTTCTCCACCATTAATGACAAGCAGCAGTTATAGAACAACTTTTTGGTCCCAAAAGCCCATATAAAAACTAGTTTTATTTATATGTGAGTAGGGTTTGAGACTACCAGTAAATCAGTTTAATGAGATGTATTCACCCTATTTCGTCTAAGGTGATGAAGGACTG